TGAAAAAATAAAATTCTGTGGCAGGGGGAACAATTTTTGAAAGAATTTGGTAGGGTAAAGAGGCCTGGAATAAATACTAATTATCACACAACAGAGAGAATTGTATCTTTATAAAGAGAAAACATTAACTTTTCTTTACATACTAATTTTATCAAAATAATGTTAAAAGTACTTGAGATATTTCCAGTTAAATTTGAAGGAAATTTCACTCTTGACCCATTTTCGTACCGTAAACTAGGCCAGTTTGGGATACCAAATTTTAGCAACAAAAAACTTATTCCAATCAATATAATTTCTGTTTGAAATACACTAGAGCATGTTACTTACTGGAAATAGTAAATTTAATTTGTTGGATTTCAATGAAAGCTTCAAGAAAGCCTTTTCCTTTATAAAATATCATTTTAAACCTTAGATATTGCAAATCTGTGGAGGTACCTAGATCAAATCAAATCAAATGTCATGGTCAGTATATTGGAAGTCATATTTGTAGCCCATAATCACATTGTTGATATGCTGTACTCTTATAATAAAAAGGATTTATATAGCCCTAGTGTACCTTGCCATTGAAAATGATGACAATTGTTAGAAAGGTTTTAAGTCATGCAATGAAAAGCAAATCTTGAAGGAAAAAAAATCTATTGAGATTCAATAAAGTGGAGATAAAGAATTCACAGCTAAAATGAACCATTTCCTTAATCTGCTCTCTTTATATTTTTAGATATCAAATGGTATCTATGACTCGTTGATCACTCCTGGTATTATATAAATTGCTTTTTGCTCAATAGCTTTTCATGTTAAAAAATTTGTCTTTAATATAGAAGAAAAAGATCAGCAACAAAATGACAGGCAGTGCCTACCAAGTTGAAGCAAGATGATTACTTAATAGACAAAGGTATCTGAGTGCCTCACATGAAAGACTTGAACAAATAAGACTGCAATCTAAAATGTAGGAGTAAAGGAGCTGATTAAACTGTTCATTTTGCTCAGGAATTAATTTTGTTTAAATGCAGATATCTATTTTATTTGTCTAGATTATTAAAATGATTAAGGAGTAATCACACAAATTTATTAACTTAGTCTTTACTATGCTGCAGGCGAAAATTGTCACCGTAGAATTCTTTCCTTTTCTAAGCACATTGTCACTTTGAGATGATTGCTATAAATGAACACTTGTCAACTATTATTTCTGGTATTTCAAGCTGGAATCACTCTCTACTGCTTTGGAACAAGGTACAGTAACTCTTTTATTCAGGAGTTTTTCTTTGATCAGGACTCTAGTGATGATTTTGAAGGTTTTACTTGAGCGGATATTAATGATGAAGTGGCCAAAGATGATAACTATGCCAGTGATGTGGAGGAAAGCAATGATGACCACTAGTGGCTACCATCATCCATGCCTGACTAATTTTATGAAAGCAACTGGTGACCATTGATATACCTGATAGCCTTTCTGAAGGTGAATTATTTTGTCTATTTATAAATGGTGAAATAACTTTATTCGTCAACAAGACAAATATGAGTCAGGTGAAAGAAAAGGCAAACAAATGCTAGTGTCTTCTCTTATGTAAACACAAGGAAATATGTCACTTTTTTACCAAAATAAAAGCCTTCTTAGTATTTTTGCTTCTTGTTGTACCCCCAGAACTCCATAATAAAAGTTAAGGTACATTGAATTATGTATTTTTTTAATGTATTTGTTTTTTATTTTGTATTCCATTTTTTTTTTTTTTTTTTTTTTTTATGTCAAAACATAATGCATTGCATAAAAAATATTACTCATTCATTCTTTTATTAGTGTACAAAAATTAAAATCTATACACACGAAACAGTTATAACAATTTTAAAACAGTAGGTGTTCATGTTTTTGCACCCTTAAAAAAATGCAGTGGTAGGGAGAACTATTCTAAAAAGAAATTTATCAGAAGTAAAAGGTTGGTGAAATTAGGTTTGTTGATTTGAATTTATTTTGTCTTCTTTTTGTTGTTAAATCTTGAATTGTTGAGCTAAAATTGGAAAGGTGCTGTATAATGTAGAATTCAGAAGATACAAATTTGCAAATTCTATAGGCCACAAAATCTGTATTCTCACAGCTAGTAATAATGCCAATGGTGCTCCCTGTGGGACAATAAAGAGTTTATAAAGCATTATTGATGTTCACAATTGGCCATGAAATAAAAAAAAACTTTGAATGCTTGTGTCTAGAACATAGATCTTGTCTAGGTGGATGTCTTGCCCAACAGTAGTAGGATGCGATGTGGAGCCATTTTGGTAAACTGAAATTTTCTTCCTCACAAAGGCCTATAGAAAATTGGTCATAATGCAATCTTACAAAATATTTACATTAGTAATGGCATAACTGAGAGTAATTTGTCTTGGTACTTAAAAAAAAAAGAAGTCATATGCAGAATATGTATCTAATGTAGTCTGAACTTGTTAATTTAGAGGTTTTTAGGGGAGGAGAGAGAATAAAGATACTGATAGAAGGGTAGTCATAGAAAGCAAAAAGATTATTGCAATCTTTCTTGCTATCAAAAAAAAAAATGTAACTTGATACATCTAAATTAAAATTATGTCACCATTTTTAACAAAATTACATTAATGAACACTAGTTTTTAACCAGGGGTGGGGATCCCATATCCTAAGAATTCATTTAAGAAAAAATTTTAGGTGTAAGTCTTGAAAAATTCTGCCACCTAATTAAGGGTTACAAACTCTTTTGAAATGTATAATTAAAGCCGCAAATAAGAGAATAAAGCATCTTATTGTATCTAACATCTTTGGCTCTTATGATTACTGGCGGCTCTGTAATAGTGTTCTAAATAAGAGGAAATTTTCTATTCCTGCTCTCTTCAACCAATTTAAGGTGTTTACACCTGCTGATAAAGCTGAGTTTTTCACCTGTAAACTCTCCTTTAACTTTAAACTCGACTTGTCTGGAATATCTTTGCCTAAATTTCCACTTAGAACTGAGTCTCTGTTGAGTGATATGTATATAACCCCCTTCCATGGTTTCTGCTATCATCTTACAAGATGGATCCTCACAAAGCATATGGATCTGATGGTATCTCTAATAGTCCTTAAGTGTGCACCTGTTCTCTGGAAACTGTATAATAAATGTCTCGCTGTCTCTTGCTTTCCTGTATGCAGGAACTCCTCATCTGTAGTTCCAGTTTTTAAGAACTCTGAACCATCCAATCCTTCCAACTATCGATCTAGCCTTCTACCTCTTTTTGGTAAACTACTAGAGACTTGTATGAAAAACGGCCTTCTGTCTGTTGTTAACTGGGGTAACGGATCACTTATTAATTTTAACGCTTCCAAAACTAAACTGCTTTCTATTAATCATCTGAGAAGATCCCCTTTCTGCCTTCAATTGGCATGGCTGATACTAACCTCAGGAGAGTGACGTTGCAAATTCTTGGGCTCAGCTGACATGAAGTGGAAAGACTATATTGAATCCGTTTCTAGCTCTGCTGCGAAGAAAGTTGGTCCACTGTATTGTACTAGAAAATTTTTCTCTCCTGAATCTTTCTTGCATATCTATGTGACTCCCATTTGTCCATACTATATATTTAGAGATTCTTGAGAAAATTCAAAGAATCAGCAATATTATTGGTCCTTATCTGGCATCTCTGCTTCAGTCACTTTCCTACCACCATAAAATTGCTTCCCTGTGTCTTTTCTATAAATATTACCATGGCAACTATTCAGATGAGCTCTTTGCCAGGGTACCTAGACTTTATTAATTTAAGTGCATTATTACATTGGCAATGAGGTCTCATCAATATACAGTTGAGTTGGCTAGATGTAACCGTAAATCCTATGCTAACAGTTTCTTTTCTCTCACTTCCTGATTGTGGAACACTCTTCTGGCTCCATGCTTTCGAGACTCTTTTTAAAAAGAGCCTTTCTTATAGCAAAGTCTTTTGTGGCTGAGCAGTAAAGCATACTGGATCAAACTAGTTTCCTCTACAATGGTGGAATCAGGTTTGATCACTGCTAGAGGACACATTTTCTTTACTAACATTTCTTGTATGCATCATCCAATACTCACTGTTTAATAAATATAAATGGGGTGTCTATTTCAAATAAGTGTCCACTATAATAATGTTTGAAGTAATAACAACAAAAACAATTATAATATCTATATTTTTATGATAGTTGTTGTTATAGTTAATATAATTGCTGCTGTTGCTAGTAATAGCATTTTCATCTATATTATTTATTTTGTATAATTATTTTGTGTATTTTTGTTTCTTTGTTTTAGTATTTGGAATAGCTCATTAGAATTAGGTTTAGTCTTTTTGTCATGATGTGGTTGTAGGTAGTGCAAAAGGAATTTGTTTTCATGTATGCATTTGGAAATAGTTTCTTTTGTTTAGGAGTTTCAGGAAGGTAATTTGTATTTTCTCGTAGGCAAAGTTTACATTTTCATCAGTAAGCTGGTGCTGTTTTTCTGATTCTCCATGTTACACACACACACACACACATTAACCATGGTAAAAACTAATAATGATACATTTTGAAGCATCCCATGACCAATGGAAATGGGTACTCTTTGCACTAAGTTCTGAACATTTTTCATCTTTTCTCTTAGGGAAATATGCAGGCATGCAATTGTCTTTGGTTCTAGTTTTATTTGCAGAGACTTGCATTGTTTCTGAGAGTGAGTTTATGAAGCCTAGTAAAGTGTAACTACAGGAGTCCTAGAATTGCCAATTTAGAATTGAATGAATGATGCCTGTATCATTGGGGAGGGAGTTAAATCATCCATAATATCCACTGGCTTCAGTGAAGCATCAGGTGATGGTGACCCCCCCCCACACACACACACACTGTTTAAGAGTTACAAGATTGATCCTTGGTGCCAAAACATGTAAAGTGAGTTGAGTAAACACCATAAAGTGGCATTATTATAAAAAGAACAGAATAAGTTATGTGACTGCTTACTATTTGATTTACGTTGTTTTTTTTTTTTTTGTTTTTTTTTGCTTTAACAGTTTATCATCTGACATTGCTGGAGCCACCACTACCATCAACCATGAGCAATAATGGTTACTGCTACCTGGACTCTTGTAATGGAACCATGAAGAAAGAACCAGAAGTGACTCAGAATTGCAATAGACTAACCATGAACTCCTCTCTTTTCCCGGCAACAAGTACCACAGCCAATAATACCACTGCAAGTCTGACTAAACAACTCTTCAACAGGGACACTAACGCTGACCACCCAATGGTCACCAAGGCTGACTATGATGCTGATCTTAAATATGGTATCAAAGTGTTCATGAACAATAACACAATCATCGCAAATAACAATAACAACTCAAATACAAGTTCAAATAGTATTGCTTCTGATGAGGATGTTGAAGATGATGACTATGAAAATTACGAGGATGAAGTTGATGATAATGATAGTGGTATTGTGACATCAACCACCACTGCAGTCACAGCAGATAGGGTTGATATGTCTAATCGCCATTGCGGAATAATGGCAAATTCTATGGCTGCCGAGAGTGATAATAATGATGATAGTAATAATAATGATGATGATAGCAGTACTAGTACAACTACTACTATTACAACCTCAAATAGTGGGAGCTGTAGTAGTACTGCTACTGCCACAACTTCTAAGACAAATCATTACAATAATCATAATGGACCAAGGAAGCTGAGATTTGCAGTTGGGCAAGATGTGCTCGCTCGCTGGAATGATGGCTTATTCTACCTGGGGAATATACTAAAGGTAGAGTATCGATTTTTATTTTATTTTATTTTTTTTTATTTATTTATTTATAGCTTTTTCCCTTTTCATTTTATTTTTACCCCCCCTTCTTGCTTTCTTTGCTCCTCCCCTTTCCACCTTTTTGTTTTGTGTTCAGGATACCCTGGACGAACCACCTTATTTTCAGGAGTTCACTTTTGGCTGAAAATGGAGTAAACTATTCTCTTCTTCTTAGATGAGAGGTGTTTGGACCAGTGGATCCCAACCCTGCAGCAGTACCTCCCTCATTGCACTAAGAGAGGTGAGGGCTGGTGTAATACTGGCATCAGCATGAGTGTTTACAAGAGATTGACCTATTTTCATCCTTGGCTCATATGCATACATATGTGTATGGGCTACCCACAAAAAGACCATGCGTCACATTCTTAGTGGAGGCCAGGTAAATATATACTTCAGAAGTATCTGGTGTAATGCCAAAATAGTGGGTGTTTTTTCTTCTGAAGTAACTTCTTTGATCTAAGAACGTGATCAAAATAATAAAATTCAAATGGGTACCAAGAAATTAGTTACATGGGTAATAAACCAAAATAGATGAAATACTATCTGGTGTGACCATTTTAGTAGATGGGTACTTAGGAAAATGTAAAAACTAGACACACCACTGACCTGTCATGGATCTGGGACCTTATTTGCTTAAGGAGTTCTCAGGTATACAAAGTGCAGGATTCAATTCTATAACACAGACTTATAAGACATGAGAATAGAACCAAATAATAAAAAAAAAAAAAAGAAAATCATGGGTGGAGTTTGATTAAAGTAGTTTCTACATATTTATTGCCAGGTGTTTGAAAATATCAAATTTCCAGACAGGGTGGTGGTGTCATGAAACTTCTTTGAAAGTATTTTAATATTCGTGATGTTTTGGATTTTGGTAGCCCCTACACATACAGAATCTACTTAAATATTGTGTTGAAATGTGGCAATTTAAAAATTATTTTTCTTTTTGTTTTATTCTTGTATTGGTTTTATCATTATTTCTATTTGTTTCTAAGAATTTTTTATTTTTATTTTATTTTTACTTTATTTTATTTTTTTTGCATTCTTCAAACAATTGGGTTGAAATTCTTTTCATTTTTTTTTTTTTTTTTTTTTTTTTTTTTTTTTGAGTAATCTTAAACTAAAGTCACTTTAACAAGGATTATTTTTTCTTCACACTTAATTAAAATGTCTTTATACATGTATGCAGGGTTTCATTCTTCAAGCATTTCAAATTACTTCAATTTTTTTCCATTTTATTTTTTTTTTAATGCTTGTTTCTTGCTTTGCATAAGAATTTATTAAGCAATAAATAACAATTGGCTTGGCTGCCTTTTTACATATGATTTAATTCATGGTCTTTTTTGTATGTTATGCCGTTGACTCTCTTTTGAGAACTGCTTACGATTTCAACTGCTGTGTGTGTGAGAGAGATGAGAGAATTAATACAAGCAAAAGGTTTGTCTGATTGATATTACCTTCAGCAACTCTACTACAGTTTTCTGTGGACCCATTGAGAATCACACTAAACTTGTCAATGTGTATGAGCAATTGACTGCTTATACTTCTTGATTTTTCCTTTTTTATGTGCACTTTTCATTCATGCAACTCTTTTTTTTAAGTGTATGTATGCAATATATAATGTCAAATCATTCGGGTTTTGATTCTGGTTTGAAGCAATTGGACATCGAACCACACTGAGGAGCAGTGATACAGTGAAACACTGTATGTGGATGACACATATATATATATATCTCATTGAGCACTGTTATTTACTGCTTAGCTATTTGTTTGCCTTTGAGTCTTAGAATTTTTTTTAATTTTGTTATTGGTATTTGCCACCAACCCCCACTTTTTTGGGGGTGGGGGAGTTTATATGTATGTTAAGCATGAAAATTTTGGCATACATTTGCTTAGTACATCAGCTTTTAGTATGTTGCTATATATATATATATATATATATATATATATATATATATATATATGAATGAAGCTTTTGCTATCTTTTTTTTAATATGTTAACTGCTAGAAGTCAATTATGAAATCCGACTTCAAACATCAACTTCCTAATTGCTAATTTAGGTAATAAAGTTTTCTTATGATTCCTTTTATATCTTCAACAGAAGTTTTAACATTGTTTTCACACTAAAAGTAACACTGCAAATAAACTCATTGTTGATGCCTGCAGATGAAAATGTATCAGACAAATGCCAAACATGAGATAACTCGTGTGTTAATAAATCCTAGCTAGCCAGTGTGTATTAAAATGATTTCTATAGTAAAATCATTTTCAGTGAATTTCTATATATGCTTTCAATATTTGCTATGTCACTATATCAAAAGTGAATGAAAATTTGGATGGATTTGTTTAATAAATCCTAGCCATAATATTCCACATAAAGAGCTAGTATTACAATAAATTCTAATGCATTTCTATAGTAAAATCATTTTCAGTGAATTTCTATATATGCTTTCAATATTTGCTATGTCACTATATCAAAAGTGAATGAAAATTTGGATGGATTTGTTTAATAAATCCTAGCCATAATATTCCACATAAAGAGCTAGTATTACAATAAATTCTAATGCATTTCTATAGTAAAATCATTTTCAGTGAATTTCTATATATGCTTTCAATATTTGCTATGTCACTATATCAAAAGTGAATGAAAATTTGGATGGATTTGTTTAATAAATCCTAGCCATAATATTCCACATAAAGAGCTAGTATTACAATAAATTCTAATGAATTTCTATAGTAAAATCATTTGCAGTGAATTTCTATAGATGCTTTTAATATTTGTTGTTTCACACTGTATTGAATACAAATGATGATCAGTTTGATGTTTTAATTCTCACCAGAAGAATTACATTGCAAGTCTATGTGTTTAACTTTGTGAACTACAAGATAACAGTAGTTTCAAAGTTCTGAGTGGCATGGTGCAGAGTCCTGTTGCCAGATATAGGGTCTCCCATCAGCCACCCTTTTGACCCAAGGTAGCACAGCATGCTGTTTCCAAATTTCTGTCAGAGTGAATTGTCATGGTCCTCTTTTTCTCACAGACAGTGCCCAACTGACCCTGTTATACTTTGCAGTTGAAAAAAATCAAAACTGGTGCACATGCATGAAATGAAAAATATGAAATGGTGACAATTTACCCATCGCTCGCTCACACACACACACACATATATATATATATATATATATATATATATATATATATGCTACTTTAATTAAAAGAGAAAGCAATTTACCAAAATGAAGGTGTATAGAAAGTGCTTTAATCACTAGATCATCCACAGTAAATTTGTGTTAAGTTCTTACATTTCAACTTTCTTGGGAGATAGTCTATTATTCCAATGTGTGATACTTAATAACAAAAGTGATAAAAAGAATAGGAAACTAAATGAAATTGGTTAAATGATATACCCCCAAACACATATTTAAAAAAAAAAAAAATTTAAATACTAATACTGCAGCATCCTCTTTTCCCTGTGTGTGTATATGTAGGTACATAAATGTAAACATTACTTTAGTTCAATTGCATTCTGAAAGATGAGACGTCACATGAAAAAAATTCTGCACTTTGTCATTGATTTTTCTTTATAATTTTTTTCTTCACCAATTTGTCATATTACATTGAGTACTATTTCATTAACACCAGCACTTAATGTGAGATATATATATATATATATATATATATATATATATATATATATATAATCAAGAACAATATTGGGGAAATGTGTGACAAAGTGAAAAGAGTTTACTTGTGACACATTTCGCCCTTCATCAGGCTAAATTTGTTATGTTGGTGAGACTGCACATGAACAAGGGATGCTAGGAATTTAAAAATGTTTTTATTTTCATTTTTTATTATTATTATTAATTAACTACTCTGATGGAAGGAGGGAAGAATTTTGCTACAACAAAAAAGTCTAGAGATTACCTTGATCCCAAGGTCATCCACAGTAAGTTTATGCCCGGGCTCTTGCATTTCACCATTGCGTGCAGAACTTCTATTATCACAGTGTGGGATATCTAGTAACAAAAGTGACGGAATGAAAATGAAAATTCTAAATGAAATTGGCTAGATTAAAAAAAAAAAAAAAAAAAAAAAATTTTTTGAATTTTCAGCATCCCTTGTTTGTGCACATGTGTAGTCACACCAACATAACAAATTTAGTCCAATTAAATCCTAAAGGATGAAATGTGTCACAAGGAAACTTTTCCACTTTGTCATACATTTTTCAATATATATATATATATATATATTATTAATTTTTCATTTATGTAGATTTGGCTGAAAACCAAGAACATGAATTCTTTAAGATTTATTCTTCAACCTGTTCTGAGCATTTTTGTCTTTCAGAAGAAAGAGTGAAGTAATAAATATACAGCCTGACAGTTATGAGCTGAATTTTGGACTGAAATATTTGCTTTACATTTTCAATCTATATGAAAAGATTAGCTGAAGAGTTGTAGAAATGGCAAAAATAAAAACAAATTTGTAGGTCAAAAACTGCAAATCTGTAGGTTACAAAACTGTCCTTTAAGACACCACAGTGATCCAGAAAACCACCTGTCCTCGTGTCCAGGGTACTCTGCTTATATGCAAGTCAGTCTCTGATTGGTTAAAGTGACTCCAAAATTTGTATGACGTATGAAACGTGTGTGCGTGTGTGTGTGTGTGTGTGTGTATATATATATATATATATAAAAATTTTCTCACCACCTCTCAAAGAGAGTTTCAAACACATAGTAGATTGACATTCATGAAATCTTTGTGCAACACAATGGTAATGTAATTTTTTTTTTTTTTTTTTTATCATTTCTTGAATTTTCACATTTATTCTTTTTTTCCCTCTCAGATTGATGAGAAAGCCTCCAAATGTTTTGTCCAATTTGAAGATAATTCTGAATTCTGGGTAATGTTTAAAGACATCCAAAGAGGTAAGAATATGTAAAGGTGTTTTTTAAAAAAAAAAAAAAAAAATTGATTCTTACTTGCAAAAAACTTTCTCTGGAATTTTTCAATTGAATGTCTATAACACCCCAATAATTACAACAGCCATCAAGGAATACCTTGGTATTTTTTTTATGCATACCATTCAATGCAAATATATTCAACAATGATAAGTTATGGATAGCGTTTTTAAAGAGTGTGTCAGTGACCGAGGTAATTGAATGAGAACAATGTGTGTAAATTAGTCAGGTGACTCATGATTGTGTGGCTTTCACTATTGAATGCAAATATGTAATGACCAGTAAGCATCCAGAGAGCAGCATTTCCTCTAAGGTCTTTCCTCTTTCTGTGCAGCTAGAAGTGGTCAAACTAAATGAGATAGTATTTCTTCCTTGTTTGACTTTGAAAGAACCTTTCTTTCTCTTTCTTTTTCTTTTCTTCTCACCCTTCTGGTCTCTCTGCCATAACCAAATTAAACTGAATTTTCTCTATCATACAAAACCAGAAGATCATTGGTCAAAAAAAAGTTTTTTAATTTTATCTTCAGTCTGAAATGTCCTCCCTTTCAATGTTGAAAAACTGGAAGTCACAGTGCCAAATCTGGTCTGTCAGGGTGAGGCTGACAAATTTTGGGTGATGCAATGTTTTACCAATATGCTCTGCATGAAAGATGAGGAATCTACTTGCTTAGTCATGAATGCAACTGTCATAGTACACAAACTTGCTTAGTAGCATTTTACTGTGTCTGTTCACACATACGCATTAAGGCTCCCTTTAATTGATTTTCAAATTACATCAAGGTTTTGCAACGCAGTTATTCAGAATGACTGGATGTGTTCCAGAAAGGTAACATGTCTCTCTCTCCTCTGTAAAGCATAGGGGCACAACCTCACCATGTTAGATGTTGTTGTTAGGTATAAAGTAGCCAACCAAGGTTAGATAGTCCTGTCTACCTTTCTATTTCATGCATAGCTTGGAAGAGATGGATTCATACCTTTCCAAAGGTATTTGTGCAAAAGTAAATGCAACAAACTTATCTGGAATTTTAACTTGGCACTTTATTGTATTTTCTGTGCCAATAACTGCTCATACAACATTTCTTAAAAAGTAATCTCCCCTTCCCAACTATGGGTTAAATAAATAGTAGGACTTGTATCTGAGGTGGGAAAAAAACATTGTTATTCTCAAGAAATTGTTAATGCAATATTCACTTGTAAAAAAAAAAAAAAAATTCCCACTATCCAAAATGTTTCAGCTTTAAATAACACACGAAAGATTGATAAATTAAAAAAAGAAAAATTTGGGGCATTTTCAAATTTGTAATTTTGGAGTACTTATCGATAGTAATATATGAAAAAAGAACTCTAGATTACTAATTTAAAATTTTTTTTACATTTTAACCATGTAGCATATTTGTTTTGGTTTGCGTCGATGGGGGGGGGGAAGGATCCATTTACAATAAATTCACAGAGCAAACTGGACCTTGAATTAACTTTCATAAAATTTAATAAAAAAAGTAACCTTTTTGTGATATTTATAATTTGAATTGCTTAATCTATAGTAGTATGAAGAAAAAAAATTGAAGAAAAAAAAAGGAAAGAAAAGTAAAAACAAAACAATTATTTGTGGTCACAGTGCCTATTGTATAACTCTGTCTTATGTGGGGACAAAAATATGTTATAGTTTTTGTTTATTTTGTTATCTAGAGGCCAGATATATTGTAATTCTAATTTTCAAATGGCATGCACGCTATCTCTTGAGTTTCAAATAGACACTATTGGATAATATCACTCACTCACCTCTCTCCACCTGGGACATTCTTATTCCAAATACCACTTTTATTAGATATTCAAATGAAACGGTTTATTCTAGAATGATCACAGGCTAAATTAAGTTGCTGGGAGGAAATTTCTTGAATATTTAATAAGAGGGGTGGTTGTAATAAGGATGCCACAGGTGGATTTTTCTCAGAAATAATTGACTTGGCTTGTCTATTTGAATCTCAATAATATAAAATGAATATGAAAATGCTGGGCTGGGTGTGGTTAAAATTAATATTATACACTTGAGTCTTGGGGAGGGGATCATTCCCTCTCTTTCAGGAGGGGGCACATCATCACCTGAGTCTGAAAGCAATTTTTGTACAGCTACCAACTTTGAACTACTTTGCGTCACATTCAGCTCAATGTGAGTTTGCAGTTAAATCAACTAAGTACACAAAGGGAACCATCTCCTTCCATTCTGGACAACCTAACATATCAGATAAAAACAATCAACTTTGCAGGTAATGGTTTTTTTTTTTCTTTTTCCTTCCTTAAAAAAGAAACAACAGAAATGAAAGGGTAATTAGTCAATTGTCACGTTTCTTTATTATTCAGGTCGGTGAATAAGGTTTTGTTCAATTTTTAAATCCAAATGGTGCTTTGCGGTATTCTGCAAGATGAAATAGTTCAATTAAATTTTAAAAGAAGCAGCTGTCTTACTGTTTCTGTTTCTTTGAAGGCGCCAAAGAAGGAGAAATCATGTGTTGTTCTTGCCAAGGTGAATCATCTGATGTTCCTGACGAAATAGTTCTCTGTGATAACTGTGGATTAGGTAAGTAAGTAAGCTTTGATTTGTCATTAACAAATCACTCACTTTCTGATTCAGTTTATTCAAACCCTGTTATCATTTCACCCCAAGCAAGGCAATAAAGTCACTAAGATGCAAGAGGTTACTGTGGATGAAAGAAACTGAACAAACATTATTGCAGCGAGAAGACAATAAAAACAGAACTCAAGGAGACAGAATATGACAATTGACAGTGCATTTAAATTTTTGAAGATCCTAGTTGATGGGAAATATGAAGCCAGAAGAATTTCACAAGCAAGAAGTGCAAGAGAAGAAACTAGAATAGAACTTATGGTTATATCTAGTAATTTAAAGAGTAAGATGATGAGACCTAACTGCCAATCTAGTACTACCTTTAAAATCATGAAGTCAGTGTGACACAATAGCCATTCCCATATGATCAGCTAAACACACAAAGTAGTCTGTAAATGATGTCAATGGAGTTAGAAGTGCTGGGTTTTTTGTTTATGGCTGGAAGATAGTCTTTGAAGTCTAGTGTTCAAAATGGCAATTCACTTGAGCCAAGGAGATGAAAAATAAATAAATGGAAAGGGGGATCAAGTGGCACTTGAATGGAAACCTCATGTCTTTGCTTGCAGCTTTATATAAGTAGTCCCAGTTAGGTCTGTACAGAGAGAGGAGTCGTCTGTCCAACCGGTCACATTGATAGCAATCGCTTGGCTGAAGTAAGAAGAGTTGAAGGGACCGATGTGCCACCTGCCTACTACCGGAGAGAATACGAGGTCTGACTGGGGAATCTAATTCAAATAAACAAAAAAAAAAAAAAAAGATTCATGTTTTCATTTCTTACTGATTTAATTTTCCATTTCTTGTGAATGTACTGAAAGTCTTTTCCAGTCTTTATATATACCAACATGATCAAAAGAGAAGCTCATCAGAACAATTATGATGAAAATATAGAAAAGAAACAGGGAAGCTATGTTACAGCAGTGGGCAAGTGATCTGCCAGGTCAGGACCATTAACAAGATTCTTCTTTGGATTTTCTCAAGAATCTCTAGATACATAGCAGAAGCACCAGACCAGATGTGGCAGCAATATTCAATGCATAAAGAAATGGTAGACTTATAAAGGTGGGGAAAGTGACTGAAGACAAGATGCCAGGACTGATAACATTGCAGATTCTTCTTTGGATTTTCTCAAGAATCTCTAGGTATATAGCAGAAGCACCAGACCAGATATGGCAGAAATTATTCAATGCATAGGTGAATGGTAGATTTATAAAGATTTCAGATAGATTCAAGTGAGAAAATTTGTCTAGAATGACAGTAAACTGTTTTTCACACAAAGTGTGTGTGTGGGGGGGGTGTTCTTTTCATATAAAAATAACAATTCTTTCAAGTTAGTTTGAGAGAGATTTTTTTTTCACTCCAGTATACTCTGGTGGCTCAAACTTTTGCTAAACAAAAATGTAAAAATTATACATATATGTATTAGTATTATCCTGTTTAAAGTCATTAGCATTGTGTTTACATTATATATTGATTTTCAATGCATTCCTATATAAATATTATCAACAATGAATTTATATTATACATATAACAGCCCTACTCTATCAGTAATGCTTGCATTCATTCCTGACCATTGACAATCCCTTTCTTCCTCATTTTCAATGCATTCCTATACTCAAATCATTATCAATGCATTTACATTATACATATAATAGCCCTATTCTATCAGTAATGCATGCATTCATTCCTGACCACTGACAATCCCTTTCTTCTTCATTTTCAATGCATTCCTATAGTAAAATCATTAGCAATGCACTTACATTATACATATAATAGCCCTATTCTATCCATAATGCTTGCATTCATTCATGACCACTGACAATCCCCTTCTTGATTTTCAATGCATTCCTATAGTGAAATCGTTAATGATGCATTTTACATTATTCTCTCAGTGATGCTCACACTTTCCTAATCTTCCTGATTTTAAATGTATTGCAATAGTAAAATCATTGTCAATGTATTTTAATTATACCTATAACAGCTCTAATCTATCCATAATACTTGCATTCAATCCTGACCACTGACAATCCCTTTCTTCATGATTTTCAGCACATCTTCTATAGTAAAATCATTAGCAATGCATTTTTCATCATACATATAGTAACCCCATTCTATCAGTAATGTTTCCATTCATTCCTGACCACTGACAGTTCTTTTCTACCTGATTTTCAATGCATTCCTATAGAAAATAAATAGTAATGCATTTACATTATACATATAATAGCCTTATTCTATCAGTAATGCTTACATTCAATCCTGACCACTGACAATCTTTTCTCATTTTCAGGGTGTTTTTACAGCAACTCATTTTCATTATGTAAGAACCTTCTGTCAATAAGGCTTGAATTAATTTTTGACCACTGACAATCCCTTTCTTAATAATTTTTAATGTATAAAATACTGAATGGATTCTGTAATATACAGATGAATTGCTGGAACTTACTCAAACCAATTTTAGTTGGGAGATTGCAGAATTTGGTGATTAAATCATCAAATACTCACTTTTTAAGCACTACTATTGTTACTTGTGATCCATTTCATTTATATCCCTGTGAACAACATTTATCTTCTATTGGTATCAACACTTAGAGTGGGCTATTACAAATTCTTCTGTGAGAGTGTCAAAAATGTTAATTTTATACCTTTGAGACATGCCTTTGAGTTTAATACTTTCCATAAGTTATCCAACAGGATATACATAAGTATTAAATGACAAACTTTTAAATATTTTAGTTACTAGTCATATTGTACATGGATTTTTTTTTATCCTGATGCAATCACAAGAGATGAGTTTTGATGTATTTGTTTAATAAATACTGTCTATGAATTTTGAAGACGCATTGAAATAGCAAAAGATGCCTTTCAAAATTTAAAGTATTAAGAGTCAGTAAAATTTCATAAAGAACAAAGAATGGTACTGAACTGCTATATAACATCACTCCTCTAATATGATATTGAATGCTGGACAATTTCCTCATTGACTCGAGGCAATACATATGTGGTCCTACAGAAGGATGCTAAGAAGAGCAAGGATGAAACATAAGAACAATGAGGAACTTTTAAGGAAAATGGGGGTGGGTATTAAAAAAGAAAGTTTTGTTAGAAACAGAAAATAGTGCTGAACTGCTATATAATATCAATCTTCCTCTATGAATGTTGTTCATCACAACTTTATTTTTTTATTTTTTTTAAACAATGTTTATATTGTACAAAGCCCAAGTGCTACTCAAGATAGAAGCTTACAGAATAAGAGGCACAGTTTAGTGAGAATATATTGGGAAGATAATAGTTGACCCTAAACTTGAGCCAGTTAAGAGTGTAGTGATCAGGGAAGCATCTTCTTGGGAGTTAATTCCACAAAGCAGCTGCTTATAAGAAGCTGCTCACATAGAACTTGTGCCTCCCTCAATGGAATGGGGGTGATTTGCTATAATGTATGTGACACTGGAATCAAGTATGGGAAGTGAAGATTAAGCAGCTCCTACTCATATAATAGCTGTAATCTGTTTTCATCCTGATCTGGCTCTTGTAGAGGATAGGAGAAGTTGGGTACTGACTGGAACAGGTACAGGAAACCAACCATTTTTCCAGTATCTTTAGCAATAGATCATTGAGGTTTGGGTTCAGCTCAAGTTGCAATAGGCACTCATCCATCCATTGCACTATATGAAGATTCAGGGTCTTCTCAGTGATGATGGAATGTCACTAGTTTGGTGAAGAGGTGATTTGAGGCAACAGATCTACAGAAGGTTGCCAATAATACCATGGACAGAACAGGTAAATGTCAACAAAATGTGGAAGGAGGACTTGAAGAATTTAATTTATTCCTCAAATAAAGTTTCACAAAAGTATATTTTATTTTTGCAAGATTTTTTTTAGTAAAGAAAAATTCATTGCTATGATGAATGGCTAAAAAGTGGGCACTAATCAGTTATTTTTTTAGCTCCATAAAATGGATCAATTCCAGCAATAGAATTTCTGTTTGAAATACATTACAGAATATTTTGCTTACTGGAAATAGGATATTTAATCCTTTAGCTTTTAATTAAATCAAAATGAAAGCTTCAAGAAAGATTTTTCATTCATGAAAATTCATTTAAACCTTAGGTATACCGAATTAGTGCACATACCTATAATAAATATAGTTTAATAAATAAATGTAGCATCTATTCAAATATGGGTTATCAAAAAGGTGATAACTGCAACTGGACTTGAGAAACCTATTTTCCTGAAAAATTATGAGAGAAAGAATTTATGAATTTCAACTTGTAGCAATACTTGCTGCTCAGTCAATGAATGCCAAATGTTTCTTTGTAGGAAAATTGCTAATAATACCAATAGTACAAAGTGAAACTTGGCTCAAAAGTTGACTCTGCGAATTTCTTTTACTTTGTAGACAGCTGCAATACCACTTCCCACTTCAAAAGTAGAATACAGTTTCAAAATGTTTTGAAAATAAATTCAGCTTGAGGAAAAAAACCTCTTATACTATTGTTGCTCTTGGATGGACATCTTCAATTAACCTTTTTCATGTTTTATTTTGAATTTCTTAATTTTCAGGTTACCACCAACTTTGCCACAACCCTCCGATTGATACGAATGTGTTGAACCCGGATGTTGAATGGTTATGTCGATTGTGTGTCTTTGCTTCAACTGTTAAAGTAAGTCTTGGTTTTATTTTTAATTGTATTCGGGGTTTTTTTTGGGGGTTTTTTTTTTTTTTTTATAGAAACTATAAGCATATAAAACATATGCATGTTTCTAATTTATTTATCTACTGTGTTAAAAACAGAAATTTCATTACAAATAAGTACTGTGTTATACAATATCAGTCCTCATATATGGCAGTGGATGCGGGACAATCTCCTTAGATGAAGAAAATTGAAGCAACAGAAACGTGGTTCTATCGAAGGATGCTGAGAATAGCATGGACTGAACATTTGAGCAACAAGGTTTTAGAGAAAATGGAAACAAGACATATTTAACATCAGAAAGGGTGATTGAAATTTCTAGGGCGCATAATGAGGAAGGAGGGCTTGGAAAATTTGACACTCACAGGACATTGATGACAAGAAATGCATAACTTATCCCATGAGCTTGTGTAAATGGTTGGCAAAACAAGGTTTAGGAGAGATAGTAATTTTTTCTCTTTGCTAAGAGCTATAGAGGAGTGAAAATTGTGGAGAGTTATAATTGCCAAGAGTTGTGTTGCTTTTTTTTTTTTTTTTTTTTTTTAAGAAAAAAAATACTTTTTCTTGCAAAGACATTACCCATTTTGTTCTATCTTTTTGCTGTTTTTCAAAGCAAAGAATTACTCTCATTGCCTTTTGAAGTCTTTCGGGGTAATTTTGGCTTTTCACTGAGAAAATTATATAAAAACAAATAGTAATTTAATGGTCTAATATCTGAATATAGTGGGCAAAGTATGAGGGGGGGGGCACCCAAAATTAACCAGAATTGTGTCATATAATTTTATTCATTTATTGTTGCATGTTTATATTCTTATCACCTTCAAAGTATTCTCCATTTGAAGCAATGCACCAGTCCAGATGTGTTTTCCATTGTTCAAAGCAGTCCTGGAACTCTTGTGAAGTTATGTTTCTTAATAACTCCATTGTTTTCTTCTTAAGCTCTTCCGCATCTGCAAAACGTTTTCCTTTGAGGACTTTCTTCATTTAGCGGGAACAAAAAAAAAAGTCGCAGGGGGGCGAGATTGAGTGAATAGGGAGGGTGGGGAAGTGGAGTCATGCCATTCTGGGTCAGAAACTGTCTCTCACTCAAGGCGGTGTGTGCTGGCACATTGTCGTGATGCAAACACCATCCTCCACTTTGCCACAGGTTAGGGCGTTTTCGTCTCACCTTGTCTCGCAAACACTTTAGGACTTCCAAGTGAAAATCCTGGTTAACATTTTGACCAGGGGGAACAAATTCTTTGTGGAGAATTCCGTTCACATCAGAGAAACAAATCAGCATTGTCTTGACATTGAACTTCACTTGACTCAATTTTTTGGGTCGTGGTGACGTTGGATGCTTCCACTGACTTGATTGGTGCTTCATTTCCGGGTTGTAGCCATAGCACCAATTTTCGTCACCAGTGATGGTCTTTGAAAAAAGGTCTGGGTCAACTTCCAACTGTTCTTTCAGTTTACAACAAGCATACTTTCAGCCATAGTAAAAATAGATGTGAACTAAGGAGCTGTACGTCTTCCCACAATGACACCAGTTGCAATGACACTGATGCCTGAGGGTTGCCTCAAGTGGCATCTAGTGGTGGAAGCCTGAACTACTACGGGCTTGTCACACAGAAAACGTTTCCAGTTACTTTTGGGTCCCCCCTCGTAAAAAGCTGGCAATATTTGCACATAGACTCGGCCAGAAAGCCGACATTACCTCACACTGTAACTGTTGATATGTTGCTAAATTAACCCACAGAACCTCATATAGATTGTTCCTCTTTCATGTTTATGTTTTAACTCTTAAGATGTCTTTCTGAAATTCTTGAATTGACAGTCCATCTCGGTTGCATCAACATGTTTTTCAAAGATATGGCAGAAATAGTAACCTTTGAATATTGTTAGGACTTTTTAGCCCATCAGTTGCAAAAAAGAAGTTAGGTTTGGGGACAAAAGTACTTCTTTAACATTAAGTTGATTGTCTTTAAGAAGAAATGGTGAATGAGTGGAAGCATTATCCCTCAACAATAGAACATTGAGAAAAATTCTTTATTTTTGTGATATTTTTTCACATCTTGTGTCAATGTAGAAACCAACCACACCTTGAATAATATAGTTGAGATCAACTTTCTTTTTTCTGTTCTTTTTTTTTTCTTTCTTTTTTTGTGTGTGTGTGTGTGTGTGTGTGTGTGCGCGCACGCGTGCATGTGCATATACATCTAATTAAAACATCCAAAGAGTACGTTGTTGAATTTTCTCTTATTTTTTCTGGGGAAAATTTAAATATGATTTTTTTTTTTTTTTTTTTTTTTTTTTGTGTGTGTGTGTGTGCTTTTAAATTATCAATTGATGTTTATCAAATTTTTTAAGAGCAGTGCGCTTTTCTATAACAGTTTTAATTTTTTCTTTTAGCTATTGTCTGCATTTCTTCTTACCAACAGGGTTAAGCTCTTCTTTAAGCTGAAGCCTGACATAGTTCATTCACTCTTCTTTAGCAATAAGGATGTGTGGCTGGAGTAATGGATAGCAACTTGGAATCAGAAAACCAAAGATCTGAGTTTGAATTCATGTTGAGTTTCTACAGCTGTTTTACTTTACTTTTTTTTTTCTTTTATTTTTTTTTTTTTTTTCTTTTTTTTTATTTTTTTCTTTTTTTTCTTTTTTTTTTTTTTTTTTTTTTTTTTTTTTTTTTTTTTTTTTATTTTTTTTTTTTCTTTTATTTTTTTTTTCTTTTCTTTTTTTTTTTTTTTTTTTTTTTTTTTTTTATTTTTTTTTTTTTTTTTTTTTTTTTTTTTTTTTCTTTTATTTTTTATTTTTTTCTTTTATTTTTTTTTTTCTTTTATTTTTTTTTTCTTTTTTTTTTTGTTCTGAAATTTTTTTTTTTTTTTTTTTCTCTTTTTGAGTGGATGTGTGGCTGATGTAATGGATAGTAACTTAGAATGAGAAATTGGAGATCTAAGTTTGAATTCTAGTTGAGTTCATTGCATTCACATGTGAAAATCTCCCACCAGCTATGAGTTAAGTAGTATGACTTGTATCTGTTTTAAAAAAAAAAAAAAATCAACTCTCAAAAATTAATGTAATATTCACTCAATGGAACAGAATTATTCTTATAATCCAAAATAAGAAAAATTTTAAAAAAGAACTAACAGAATGAGGTTACTATATATAAACGTCTAACAAGTTTGGTTTTTGTGAATGCTGGTAGCTCTGTAACAGTGTCAAATAGGAGTAAGTCTTCTATCCCTCCTCTCTTCAATCAATTTGGGGTGTTAATATCTTTTACTGATAAAGCAGAATGATTTTCTTGTAAATTCTCTTCAAATTCTACTCTTTACTCATCTGGAGTACCTTTTCCTGACTTTCCACTTAGAACTGTCTCTCTACTGAGTGATATGCATATAACTCCAACCATGGTTTCTGCTAACATCTCTGTACATGATCCCCTCAAAACGTATCTCTGCAATAGTCCTTAACAAATGTGCTCTTGAACTGGCTCCTGTTTTCTCTAAACTCTACAATAAATGCATTGCTGTTTCTTGCTTTCTTATTTGTTGGAAATCCTCTACTGAAGTTCCAGTCTTTAACAACTCAATTAGAGCTTCTAATACTTTTTCCAAAAACGGTAGAAGGCTAATAGGTTTGCCTGAGTTCTTCTATAGGAGAGTTTACAGGGTCAGCACAACTGGCATAGTGAGGTTGTGGCTCTGTACTCCACAGGGATGAGTTTACAGGGTTAACATCAGTTTAAAAAAGAAAAAAAAAAAAACTATAGAATTCAATAGAATAATTGGTTTCAGGTGTCTATGGATAAGGTTGTAGAGAGGGCTACTTTAAATGTTCAGTTTCTCTTTACAAAAGACTTTATTACCAAACTAGCAGTAGAGCCCGGCGTTGCCCGAGGATGTAACAGTAAGAGATAGATCAAGTATCGACCATCATAAAGACTGAAAAATAAAATTGACAAAGATTATTGTTTAAGGTTGATGGACACGCATGTCTTAATTAGTTTTTTTTTTTTTTTATATGAATTGGTCAAACTTAAACAAAAACATTGTTTTCAATCATTATGAATCTACCGATTGAATAGAATTTTATTATAAACAATTGTCTTGTAAATGGAATTTTTAAAGCATTCTGAATGTAAAAATAAAGAAAAAAGTGTACAATAAGAAACACTACCTGCCAAAAAAAAAATGTGAAGTTGAAATCGGTTAAAAAATGTAGGAAATCTGATCCCATATATAAACACACACACACACAACAACCTGGGTTTTATAAGTATAACTCTATATGAGTTGTCCCTCTTTCATTCTCGCGACAGGAATGCCTCTTAATCGTGTTTTTAAATTGATTTCGTGCAAAAACAATTGTTTTTCCAATTTTTGGCGCTGTCAGAACCACCACAAGGTAATTTCACGTAGTCCTGTGAAGTTTTGTTGAAAGATGTAGGAAATCCGATCCAATATATAAACGTATACACACACACACACACACACACACAACCTGCGTTTTATAATGAGTATGATGATACCGTCTTTGACATTTTGAGTTAAAAAAAAAAAAAAATCCCTCAACAAATTTCTGCCTCGTTTAATAAGGAACCTTATGAGCTCTACTATAGAGGATGTGTGTGTAGCATAACCGTTTTTCAGTACAGAAAATGGGTTTGGCTTGCTGAGTTCAAATTCCAACTATAAGGGCATTGCAATTACTTTCACAAATAATCTTTGGAAAGGTATAATTCACCCCCCCTCATCTCTCCTCTCCCCCTCATCTCTCCTCTCCCCCCAAATTGCAACATTAATTTTATGTGATTCAAGTTGGAAGTTTTCTTGACCTAATTGTTGGAGGCTTTTTTCTTTGTATTTTACTTTTCTATATACTCTTCTCTATTTCCACATTGTTTTCCCTCTCCCTTTAAATTACAGCAAGGAAAGAATTTCAAGTTAGACTTTCTCCATTTCTCCTCCCCTCTCTTCCAAATTTGTTTTATTTTATGCTGATTCCTACAAACTGTGCACTACAGTGAAAAAACACATTGTCCTTTGATCACTAATATGCCAGTCTCTCTTGTCTCCTTGAATAAATATATATATATATATATATATATATATATAAAAATTGTAATTGGTAGGGATTATCTCAAAGAGGCCTTGAGTCCATATGAGAGCTCAATGTATGATACAGAGCAAATTATAGTAATGATTAGCAAATAAATCTATAAAAATATCCATAAATTTATTTCAATGACTTAATAGGTATATTCATTTCATCAGATCAACTACATTTTCTGAAATGGAATATTTCAAATTCTTTTTTTTTTTTTTTGTGGGCCTCATTCCTGGTATGACATTTCCTAATTTTATTTATTTATTTTTTCTTTTTCAGCGAGGAGGTGCATTAAAAAGTGGTCCTAATGGTGAGTTTGGGATATTTTTTTTTTC